AACCCATGGGCATCCTCAGACAGTGTCTTTTGCTTAGATTGGCTTGAAAGGCAAGCACATAAAAACTTACACTGGTCTAGAATGCCTGTTCACACAACAAGAGCAGATCATCTTCTTTGCAAGCAGAAGGTCCAGTTTCAATCCCTGCCGTCTCCAGGTAGGGCTGGCAGTTTCCCCTGCCTGCAGCTCTGAAGAGCCACTGCCGGTCAGTGTAGATCATACTGAGTTAGATGGGCCAATGGCCTGACTTGGTATAAGGCAGCTTCCTAGGTTCTTATTCAGGATGATCAACAGCACCGTGGGTGAAAGAGGCATCAAACACGTATTACCGTATTTTTCGCACCATTGGACGCACCGGTCCATAGGACGCATCAAGTTTTTTGGGGGGGAAATAATGGAAAAAAAATTATTTCCCCCCCAGGCGCTTGTGGGGCCGGCAGCGGGGAGAAGCGCTGCTCTCCCCGCCGCCCGCCTTGATCTCATGTCCGGGGCCCGCGGGCCGACGCGCTGCGGCTCCCTGCTGTCCCCGGAGCTTGGGGCAGGCAGCGGGGAGAAGCGCTGCTCTCCCCGCCGCCCGCCGTGATATCAAGTCCGGGGACAGCGGGAAGACGCGCAGCGTCTCCCTGCTGTCCCCGGAGCTTGGGGGCAGGCAGCGGGAGAGCGCTCTTCTCCCCGCCCCCCGCCTGCACATCAGGTCCGGGGACAGCGGGAAGACGCGCGGCGTCTCCCTGCTGTCCCCGGAGCTTGGGGGCAGGCAGCTGTGAGAAGCGCTGCTCTCCCCGCCGCCCGCCTTGATATCAAGTCCGGGGACAGCGGGAAGACGCGCTGCGTCTCCTGCTGTCCCCGGAGCTTGGGGCAGGCAGCGGGGAGAGCGCTCTTCTCCCCGCCGCCCGCCTTCACATCAGGTCCGGGGACAGCGGGAAGACGCGCTGCGTCTCCTGCTGTCCCCGGAGCTGGGGCAGGCAGCGGGGAGAGCGCTGCTCTCCCCGCCGCCCGCCATCAAATCAATGCCTGGGACAGCGGGAAGACGCGGTGCGTCTCCCTGCGGTCCCGGGAGCTTGGGGGATGTCAGCGGGGAGAGCGCTCTTCTGCCCGCCGCCCGCCTTCACATCAGGTCCGGGGACAGCGGGAAGACGCGCTGCGTCTCCCTGCTGTCCCCGGAGCTGGGGGCAGGCAGCGGGGAGCGCTCTTCTCCCCGCCGCCCGCCTTCACATCAGGTCCGGGGACAGCGGGAAGACGCGCTGCGTCTCCCAGCTGTCCCCGGAGCTTGGGCAGGCAGCGGCGAGGCGCTCTCCCCGCCGTCAGCCTCCAAACCACTTCGGGAGACAGCGGGATGGCGGCGTTCCGCCTCCCTCTGTCCCCCGACCTTGTGGGGCTGGCGCTGGGGCTCTCCTGAAGCCTGGAGAGCGAGAGGGGTTGGTGCGCACCGACCCCTCTCGCTCTCCAGGCTTCAGTGAAAGCCTGCATTCGCACCATAGGACGCACACACATTTCCCCTTCATTTTTGGAGGGGAAAAAGTGCGTCCTATAGTGCGAAAAATACGGTAAGCCTCATGTGTGCAAATACCCAGTAGCAGTTGTTGTTAGCATCTGTCTGTCTTGAGAGACAATGGAGTGCGCCTCCAGGGGTGAAGTTAAACCGCTGTGTTACCAGCACCAAAGTGGGTGCAGTCCTGGGTAGTGCGTATGGAGGTCCTGGGCTGCCCAGACGACAATATCCTCCTCTTGCCCTTGCTGATGTGGTCCAAATGAAAACAGAGCAATACATTTGACACCAGCTTGGCTGCAGGAGTTGCTGGAAGGAGGCCTACAAGATGCTATTCCAACAGTCTAAGGGACTCCACTATGGATTTGTTTTGAGTTTACACACAGAATCATAGAGTTGGAAGGGACTCTGGGTCATCTAGTCCAACCCCCTGCAGTGCAGGAATCTCAACTAAGGCATCCATGTCAGACGGCCATCCAACCTCTGCTTAAAAACCTCCAAGGAAGGAGAGTCCACAGCCTCCCGAGGGAGACCGTTCCACTCTTGAACAGCTCTTACTGTCAGAAAGTTATTCCTGATGTTTAGTCAAAATCTCCTTTCTTGTAACTTGAGTCCTCCCCTCCAGAACAGGAGAAAACAAGCTTGCTCCATCTTTCAGGTGACAGCCCTTGAATATTTGAAGATGGCTATCATATCTCCTCTTAATCTTCTCTTTTCTAGGCTAAACATACCCAGCTCCTTCAACCATTCCTCAATACAGGGAGGGAATTGGTATACCTGTCTGACTCTCACAGAGGCTGATTAGAAGGAGATAAGCCCTGAACAATGATTCACACTGAGCCGCTGAGTGGGACGTCAGAGCTCCCTGAAGCCCTGCCTTGATTGGTTGATTTTTCCTGGCTCATGACTTGTGAATTACTTCCCTGCTCCTCATGCTATCAAAGGTAGCAGTTGGATGAGGAAACACTGGTCATTTCAGGCCAGGTAACAAACACCTGGTTAGAACCCTCTAGAACAGACTTCCCCAACCTGGTGCCCTACAGATGTTTTGCACTAATACTCCCATGAATTTAAAATTGTGTAAATACACATACTTCCAGGGAGGTGGGAGAGGAGAGTAAAGCACTTGTAGTTTTGCTGGTTGGAGGATTTGGAACACAGAGAGAAGGGACAGTGGCTGGAGAGAAGGGGGGAAAGGGAGAAATGGAAGAGGAGTGAATAAATGGAGGATGGGGAGCAAAAAAAAAAAAAGTAGTGAAATATAAAAAGGAAGGATGAGGTGGAGCAGGATGGAGGGAACAAGAAAATGAATTGAGCTGAGGGAGGATGAGGAAGAGAAAAGGGGAGGGGACAGGAAAGGCAGCCAGAGGCTGGGTAGATGGAAGGATGAAGACAAAGAAGTGAAGAATAGGAGAGGAAGTAGGAGAATGGTTTGCTCTGGCAACCTGGCCTAGCTCTGCTGCAATGCCTGCGCAGGTAACAGTAATAATGATGGCCATTCTCATCATTAATTATAGCCTTAATGAATACAAGTAAAACATAAATATGTACATAGGGATGAACTACCCCCCTTTTATGGTGCCCTGCCCCCTGAACTCTAAGGCTGGCTATGGTCCCTGCCTGCCACTCATGACCAAATACTGTCTTGTGACAGAACCATTTTTGGGATTGTTGGAGACTCTGCGGCTCTTTGCGGAATGCTTCAAAGAGCGGCTTGATCTTCCTGTGCCGCTGGCTTTTGAAACAGGTGTGCCTGCCGGTGGCAACAAGGCCAACGCCAATAAATAATGAAGAACCTGCGAATGCCGAAAACAAAAGGGGGAGACGCTTGTCTGAATTATTGATCCACACAGAGAGAAGGATCCAGCAAAAAGATAGATAGAATATAATGACCTGTTTACCTGGTCAGTTATATGTACTTCTTAGTTCTTTGTCATCTGCTGTTGGACAGACATTTGCTGGTCTATGTTCTGAAGCTGCTTCTTGTAAAAATAGAACATGTTAATACAGTGGTACCTCAGTTTTTGAGCGTCCTGGAAGCCGAAAGTTTCAGTTTCCGAATGCCAAAAAACTGGAAGTAATTGCTTCCGTTTCGAACACGCATCGGAAGTCGAATGGCTTCCGCTGCATGTTTTTCAGTTGCAGCCAGACTTTTGCGCCTCGGTTTTCGAACATTTCAGAACTCGAACAGTCTTCCGGAATGGATTACGTTTGGTAACCGAGATACTACTGTACTGCACTTTGTTGTTCTCACCAATCTCAAATCATTTTTTTCCTTATGTCTTTCTGTTTTAAGAAGGAATGTAGGATGATCCACTCTTTCTGCTAAAACCTACATTGAATGTATTTTGTTGGCATAGAAACATCAAACCGTGCCCAGAGGGCTTTTTGCATAACATGCCAAGAAGACAGCCTGAACCAACTTGGTGACTGCCAATTGTCTTGGACTACAATGTGCCGGCTGGGGCTGATGGGAGTTGTAGTTCAAAACATCTGGAGGACATCAGGTTGGCAAAGGTTTACATTACATCAAGTTTTACATTTCCAGGGGTGAGAGAGGGGATTAAAGGGTTTCCTGCTCTTCATAACAAATGTTAACTGGCTGCCTTGGAGAGCCGACTGTCACCAAGCATTATGACCCCTTAAGACCTAAGTTACAACCTAATTTAAGAAGTTCGGTAAATGAGTAAATGTTTTAATGCAAGTCATAGTCTGAAAAGATCTGTTGAAATAATACAGCTGCCTGCGTCCCTGTGACCTGGAGGCAAAATCCAGAAGCGAAAATGAGCTAGCTGGAGTGGGAACATGGAATCTAAATTTAAAGGAGGTAACATCAGCCAGACCTAAAATGGCATCTACATGTTAAAAGTGCTTTTCAGAAAATGATGCACAGCTTCCCCTACTTCTCCAAAAGCTAGGCTTGCTCTCCAGCTATTAAAGATGCTTTAGCTGAACACAAAACCGCTTCAGAGGGTTGAATCATCTGCTGTGTCTCTGCAGCCAGGCAGGCTAGAATCCAGAACACATCGGCAGCAGCACCGTGGCCTATTTTTAAACAAGGTGTGGATGAGGGGAGGGAAGCATCTACAGCAGCTAGCTTGCAACAGGGGGTGGTGAGGATTTGCTTCTCTTTGGCAGAGTAGCCACCTTAGCAGAACAAAAGCCAAGCCAAACCTGTCCTTTGTTCGGAATGTTGTTGAGGAAAAGGGCCAATTTATGGAGTATCTCAAGAGAGGCTCAGAAAGTTAGCTTGGCTGCAGAGGTGCATTAACCACTTGCTCCACTTTTCTTTTGCTGGAATTATGATGGTATGCATGCAAGCAATAACCATAGAATCAAAGAATTGTAGAGGTGGAAGGGACACCGAGGGTCATCTAGTCCAACCCCCTGCAATGCATGAATCTCAGCTGACAGATGGCCATTCAATCTCCGCTTAAAAACCTCCAAGGAAGGCATCTAAAACCTCCTGAGGGAGACTGTTCCACTGTTGAGCAGCTCTTACTGTCAGAAAGTTATTCCTGATGTTTAATTGGAATCTCCTTTCTTGTCACTTGAAGCCATTGGTTCAGGTCCTCTTCTTCAGAACAGGACAAACAAGCTTGCTCCATCTTCCATGTGACAGCCCTTCAATATTTGAAGATGGCTATCATATCTCTTCACAGTCTCCTTTTCCCCAGGCTAAACATACCCAGCTCCTTCAGGTGTTCCTCATCATCATCTAGGTCACCCTCATCTGCACACCTTCCAGCTTGTCAACATCCTCCTTAAATTGTGGTGCCCAAAATTGGACACAGTATTCTGGGTGCGGTCTGACCAAGGCAGAATAGAGTGGTACTAATCTGGACACTATACTTCTGTTGATGCAGCCTAGCATGGTGTTATCTTTTGTTGTTTTTGCTGCATCACACTGCTGACTCATGTTAAGCTTGTGGTCCACCGAGACCCCTAGATCCTTTTCACACGTACTGCTAGTAAGCCAGGTGTCGTCGTTTCCCCCATCCTATATTTGGGCATCTGATTCTTCCTGCCTAAGTGCAGAACCTTACATTTGGGCCTACTGAAATTTTGTTAGTTTGTGCTTAGTTCTCCAATCTGTTAATATCATTTTGAATTCTGAATCTGTCCTCTGTGGCATTAGCTACCCCTCCCCGGTTGGTGTTGTAATGGTTCTAAGGGGTTGCTCGTGTGTGCCTATCTCCCTGACTGGGTGCAAACACCTGGCTGGGCTGCCAAAGTGAACCTTTTCTGTCCGGACAGCCACTCACCCGTGGCTGACTCAGTCGCTGGCAGAATCCGTGAGTGGGCGTTTCTTAAACTTCTTCCAGCAAAGAAGCTCTTTGACGCCTAGTCTCCGCCTACCCTCTCTGCGCGAAAGCCTTCTGCGCAGGGAGGGCATGGGCAACGGAGGACCCCTACTCTCCCCGCTGGTCCCAGGCAAGGAGTCATGGGACCGCCTCGCCGCTTCCCCCATCTGCCCCCCTTCTCCACTGGTGCTACGCTGATTCTCTTCCCCAGAAGATGGGCTGCTTCTCCCGATTCCTGGACGCTCTCTGGAATCCCTCTGGCTTTTGCTCTCTCCCTCCGGCACTGATGGCAGTTCCCTGACAGGTGTCTTCCGTAAATTTGATGAGCATCCCTTCAATTCCTTCATCCAAGTTGTTTATAAAGATGTTGAATAACAATGGACCCAGGACAGAACCCCATGGTACCCTACTTGTCACTTTTCTCCAGGATGATGAAGAACCATTAATGAATATTCTTTGGATTTGGTCAGTCAACCGGCTACAAATTCACCTAACAGTTACCTCATTCAACCCACATTTTACGAGCTTCCTCGCGGGAATATTATGGGGGACTTTGTCAAAAGCTTTACTGATCTCAAGATACACTATGTCCACAGCATTCCCCTGATCCACAAAAGGCCTAGGAAGGCAGATCGCCAAGCAGTCTATAGCAGACCCTCACAGTAAGGTTACTGTTGTTTATTTCTTCAACAGTTTTTACCCATTCACTCAGCTTTCCATGCTTTCCATGCTCCAGGTCATGGATTTCCACACAACCTTTACATATATTCCTTTTAAATAGGTTATATCCCTCAATTCCTACATTCCAGTCCTGAGTGAAATCCCACCAGGTTTCAGTAAAGCCTATCAGGTAATATTTGCCATCCTGTGTTAAAAGCTCCAATTTGTCTTGCTTGTTTCCCATACGCTGCGTATTTGTGTAGAGACAACTTAAACCATGAGTCTTCCCTCCAGCTGCTTCCTTCTTGTAGTTTCTTGCCCTTTAGCAGTTTTCTGGAGCACCACTTCAGTTTCCTGTGCGTCAATGAGGCTATTATCCCCAGTATCAGGTGTTCTTCTGTCGTTTGTAAAGTTGTCACCCTCCCCTTCTAGTTTAAAGCTGTCCTGATCAGGTTCTTGAGACGCTTAACAAACACATTCTTGCCAACTGCTGTGAGGTGCAGCCCATCTTTTGCCAAAAGTTCTTCCTCAAGGAAGCGGAGACCATGATCCAAGAAGCCAAACCCTTCTATAGCCATGCAAAAGTCAGGGATGAGGAAGTCATCCATTGTTGGTCCCAGAAAGGAAAGGTGGCAGAATCAGCCACATGCCCAGACACAAAACTGAGTAGGTGGGAGGGAGAAATCAGCTTGGCTGGAAGAAACAAGAAACTTGGACAGCTAACAGCAGGAAAAGATCCCAGGAGCTTGAATTCATTTCCCGCTTGGCCAGACTTTCACTCACTCTACAGGATTTCACCTTCTTGGGGCACTTCCAGGCTGTTGCTGTTTTCGGGTAGGATTTAATCACATGTCGGCATATTCAGGTTGCACAATTAAAGTTGATCTGGAGCTCTTGTGCAACAAACCACTTCTCTCCTGAATCAAACAGTTTTCAGTAAGAAAGATGTACCAGGAAGTCTGGAACAGCAATTACTTGATGCAACATTGTCTAACCTCCCCACAAACAGATCAGAATGAATGCTTCAGTTACCAATATCTAACCTCCCCACAAACTTTGGTCACACCCGCACCATACTTTAAGAACACATTAAAAAAACTGCTGCTTTTTCCGAAGAATCATGGGAATTGTAGTTTGTTAAAGGTAGCTCTGTGAACTGTGGTTCCCAGGATTGTTTGGGGAAGCCATGTGCTTTAGGTGTGGGTGGCACCTTTATGCTAACAAGTCAAGATAAACACTCAATAAACAGGTCATCTAGAATGAAGCTTTATAGTTTTTTTAAAAATGAAATATTGTGCTTTGATGCGTTTTCCCTCAAACCAGTTTTGATCTGAGTTGAGACAATGAATGACCTAGCTGCTTTTTAAGCTGCTAATGCCTGATACTAGATCTGCTAATTGGTTTTTGAGGCATATAGCTACTGCCTCTTCTTTAGCTTTTCTTTGGTTTTATGTTATTGATGCATTTCTGAAACAATTGTATTAGCAAGTCAGATCAGCTAGATAAGGTTTGCAAGAGCTGAGCTGCCAAATCAACACATCTTCAAATATCCCAAGGGCTGCCCCATAGAAGAGGGAGCAAGCTTGTTTTCTCCTGCTCTGGAGGGGAGGACCCAACCAATGGCTTCAGGTGACAAGAACAGAGATTTCGACTCAACATCAGGAAGAACTTTCTGACAGTAAGAGCTGTTCAACAGTCGAACAGATTCCTTTGGAAGGTTGTGGACTTTCCTTCCTTGGAGGCTTTTAAGCAGAGATACTTGAGCTGAGATTTCTGCATTGCAGGGGGTTGGACTAGATGACCCTCAGGGTCCCTTCCAACTCTACAATTCTATGATCCTAACACTTGCCAGACCTTCTTCTCCCTTGCAAGTTAAGATGAACTATGCAAAAACCAAGTTGTCCTATCAAAATTGGATCTCTTCATAGAGTCCCCGATTGTTAATCTAATGCAGGGTTTTTCAACCAGAACTCTGTGAGCACCTTGAAGGGTTCCACAAGAAGCTTACAGTCTCTTACTTCAGCCACTTCATATTCCCCTCTTCTCCTGGCCATCCCCTGCGCCCTGCCAGTCATAGGCTGCTTCCAGGCACCCTGTTTACTGAGCACTCATTTTGCACAAAATTTGTGGGAAGCATAGAAGACATTAACTATTTATTGAGCATTCATTCTGCTATTTGGGGAGCAGTTATACAGAGTTGCATCAAGGCAGTGTTAACCCACACTTTCCAGTGCATCTTCCTCATCACCTTCCTTATGGCAAAAAGTTTGGTGTGTGTATGTGTTGCCACCTGAGACTTAATTCCAATACCAACTTAATAGTGTCACCTGAATTTGCTTTACCTTTACCTAACTGAATCACACCCGAAAATAGCAATGGTCTGGAAGTGCCTGGAAGACCAGTTCAGTCTTGTGATGCCTCTTCGAATCTTCCATTCTTCAGGGCTGAATATACAAATCCAGTCTCAATTTGTGAGTAGTGTGAAAGGCAGGGTGTGCCTTGTGTTTTACCAATTTATTACCAGTTTCTACATAGTTTGTCATCAAGGACCGCTTATCCCCAGACCCTGCTATCATCATTTGAGGCTCTTCTGCATGTGCCTCCACCATGAGAGGTCAGGAGGGTGGCAACATGAGAAGGGGTCTTTTCTGCAATGGATTCCCTCTTGTGAAATGCTCTCCCCAGGGAGGCTTGTCGTTATATATGTTTAAGTGACAGGCAAAACATTCCTCTTTCCCCCCGCCTTTGTCTAATTAAGCAATCTATGGTCTTTTAAACTGTGTGTGTGTAGGATTGGTTTGTTTGTCTGTTTGTTTTTTCCAATAGTATGTATTTTTGTGTTTTTATATTTTAAACCAAGAAGGGTGGTATAAAATTGTATTATTATTATTATTTGGTAGCAGGGAGGGTATGGGGCTGGGGCTGTTCAGGATATCACAACGTGTGACATGGAGTATTTGACTAAGAGGGAGTTGGACGCCACCATTCTGAGGCCTCTTGTACCTGTTCTCTTTTAGGATGACAGCAAGGAGACTGATGGCAGCCTTCTGGGTGATCCAGGCCAGACTCCCCCCGGGAGGAAGGAGAACGTGAAATGGCAGAAGCCGCGGCTCACCCGCAAGGCTCTGATGAAATGTTGCTTGGTGAAGTGGATCCTCTCCAGCACTGCTCCCCAGGGATCAGGTAAGGAGTGCAGTGGAAGCGTCTGCGCTCTTTGGATTGTCTTCAGCAGTGCAGATATTTGTCATTTTTGAGTCAGTAATTCCAAAGGTGAATGCAGTGCATCAAGTTCAGTTCATTAGACTAGACCAGTGATGGCCAAACTTGGCCCTCCAGCTGTTTTGGGACTACAATTCCCATCACCCCTGACCACTGGTCCTGTTAGCTAGGGATGATGGGAGTTGTAGTCCCAAAACAGCTGAAGGGCAAAGTTTGGCCATCACTGGACCAGAGCATGGTGCTGATAATGCCAAGGTGGCAGGTTCAGTCCTTGTATGGGACAGCTGCCTATTCCTGCATTGCAGGGGTTGGACTAGATCAGGGTTTCCCAAACTTGTCTCTCCAGCTGTTTTTGGACTACAATTCCCTTCATCCCTAGCTAGCAGGACCAGGGGGCAGGGATGATGGGAATTGCAGCTGGAGAGACAAGTTTGGAAAACCCTGGACTAGATGATCCTCAGAGTCGCTTCCCACTCTATGGTTCTGTGATTTTATGATTCTAAGTAACAATAGAACA